AACATGGGGACTCAACACAGGCTACAATCACTCACAAATAGCTGAACTTCTCTATATCCAGCATACTTTGAATGAACAGTTACCATCAGTAATGTATTTTCTGTTTTAGTATAAATTTTACTAAGAATGTATTACCATAAATTCTGTGTAGAGAAAATTACAGGTTTGGTCAATGTATAATATCTATACTAAACCACATGATGGTGGTGATATATTGCTACTCTTGATCTAGCATTCAGTTGAAAATAAATGAAAAATACACCAATCATGAGGAAAATGAACTCAGTAATATTTTATATTGATCCCTAAATTAATCACTGAGGAAACACTATCCCCTAAATCCTGATATAAATCAGAAAAAATAAAAACTCTCTGCTCTGTCAAAGAAGCTGCTATATCCCTGGGTTTTTAATTTTTAAATTCATAGAGAACATAGATATAATTTTCTGATTTTTTTCTAGCTGTACAAGGCTTAGAACATCATTTGAAATTATGCTAACTTGTTTCTTTAATTTTTTTACTTATTGTTTTGATTTTATGTGTATGTGTGTATTTCCTGCATGTATGTAAGTGCACCTGTGTCATGCAGTGCCCACGGAGGTCAGAAGGGGGTGTCGGATCCCCTAGAACTGGAGTTACGGACAATTGTTAGCTGCCATGTGGGTGCTGGGATTGGAACCCAGGCCTTCTGCAAGAACATTCAATGTCCTTAACTACTGAGCTATCTCTCCAGCCCAAAATTATGCTAACTTGATAATGGCAGTTCTTTTCTGGGTCCTGAGATCTGGAGTGATGTTCTTGCTTCCCCCACCTCCTGTTCACACTATGATTAACAGTCACAAGCACAATAAAACACACCATTCTTTAAAGCAGTATCACTGAATATGATCTAATTTTATAGCCTCTAGGACTAATTAGAGACAAAATGATGTGTTCATGTTTACCAAAATAAATCTAATTTTAAAAGTCAAAAGGCCTTAAAGCAACTGGTAAATGCAATAGTTGTAGCTACAGACTGTCACTTGATCCTTTTAATCTCTGAAACAGTAGCTACAAATTAACATTTTCTAAACATTGAATTTTGTGGCAAAAAGCCCCAGCATTTGTTAGCACCTATCTTAATCAAAGGGTTGGCTATTTTAAAACACAACAGAAAAATTCTTCATCCTTTCAAGGTCAGTTTCTAAACTTGACATCTTAGAGATGGCCTTGCTCAGGAATTTAAGGTCAGGGTTTATGTTAAGCAGTAGCTACAAATTAACATTTTCTAAACATTGAATTTTGTGGCAAAAAGCCCCAGCATTTGTTAGCACCTATCTTAATCAAAGGGTTGGCTATTTTAAAACACAACAGAAAAATTCTTCATCCTTTCAAGGTCAGTTTCTAAACTTGACATCTTAGAGATGGCCTTGCTCAGGAATTTAAGGTCAGGGTTTATGTTAAGCAGGACCTCAAATCAAGTCTAGAAACAAGCAAATCTTTCATTCATTCTTCAAGGGAAAGAGTTTTCTTTGAGAAGAAAAGATTAGAAAAACAGGTCAATGTCCTGTAAAAACAAAATTGTCATTTGTTTTTACATGCTAAATAAATATGTGTGTTTTCTGCTCAGTGTTTCGTGGCTATTCTGCTCCATCTGTCTGAGAAAATGTGTTTGTATTAGAAAACTCCATGAGGGCAAGAAATGTAGTTTTACTTTATTATAAATAATCTGATTAAACCCCACTTACGAAAGAGTGTGGGGCTTGGGGGATACTGCACAGCTACTGTCCAAAATGTATAACTTTGTCTATCAGGCTTCCCACAAATTGTATCCAGTTTGTACAGAATGGACGATTACAACACTGTTACATGCCTCATGACAGGTTGTTTTCAAAAGCATCTTCTGAGCATGCTGAACACATATCACCCTCACTACATAACAAACTAGTAACTCAAACCCGGGCTTCGACATCCCTTTCAGAGAGACACTGCTGTTCCCACAACAGGTGTACTGGGTCTATCTGTAATAAGGATATCCATCCAACTCTATTCCTGAAGCCCTAACAGCAGTGATTACCCCCTCATACAAGTTAGGAATCCTTACAAAACTTAAATTTTAAATAAACTGCAGAGGGTAGTAGGTCAGGGATCAGTCTGCAGAGAACTGGAATTGAAAATTCACACCAGGAGTGAAACTATTAGAGAATATCATCAATGACAGACATTGTTTTTGCACTAATATAAATAAAAAGGGAAAAAAAATTGGGGGGGGGTCCCTGTAGCTCCAGCTGTCCTGGAACTCACTATGTAGACCAGGCTGGCCTCGAACTCACAGAGATCTGCCTGCCTCTGCCTCCCAAGTTCTGGGATTAAAGGCGCGTGCCACCATGCCTGGCTAAAAAGGAAAAAATTTAAACCTTGCTTTTTTTTTTTTTTAATGAAAGTTTCGTGTTGGTTAAAGTGTTTTTTCAAGAAATATTTTATAGCATAAAATTTCCTAACCCTGGAGCTGGAGATATGGCTCAGTGGTTAAGAGCATTGGTCTCTCTTCCAGAGGACTTGGGTTTGGTTCCCAGTACCAACATGGTGGCTAACAACCGTCCAGGGGATCTGATGGCCTCTTTCCACCTCCACGGGCACTGCACAACACAGGTGCACTTATATCCATGCAAGCAATACACTCATACATACAAAATTGTAAAATCCTAATCCTGTATGATCAAGGTATAAACACCCAGAAGAATGGTACTAAATATTTTCCTCCTTACTGTAGTACTATTTGGTAAGTGTGAGATGATCTATAAAGTGAAATAGTGACAACAGTAAGAAATACCACAGGAAATTTTTCACTCCAACATCTTTGGAGAGTTTAACCCAGACACACTAGTTTTTGTTGTTACCATCATGGTCATTTAAGAAAAAAAAAGTTGGAGGGGGTAGGGTTGTTTTTGTTTGAGACAGGCTTCTACTATGTAGCTCAGACAGGTCTTGAACTTGAAATTTTGCTGTCACAGCCTCCCCAGTGCTGAGATCACACACCCCTTTGAAAATAGTCTTAATGATGAAAGTTACTTTTATCTCTTCAGATTGTTAAAAAGGCAAACTGGGTTGCAGGAAAAAGGGAAGCTACAAAATTGAGAATAAAAAATTACATTTTTCCTGTGCTATGAGTCAAAGGAATTACTGTAAGAAAACAAAACAGATCATAAAAGTATTAAGAAATGAAATCAGAAGGGGGGTTTGCATAGCTCAATGACAGAGCTCATGTTTATCATAGAACAACAACATGTATGTTAAGAAAACACACAAGGCCAAGACTTCAGTTTCCAGTACCACTAACCAACAAAAAAGGAAATCACTAACCATTCTAGCTTGACCTAAGTAAAAAGGAGATGGGAGATTGTTGGTTATAAAGATTGATTTATAACCCCGCCTATGGGGGGGGGGGGGTATGTGCACATGAGTGCAGGTGCTTGTGGTGTCCAGAGGCACTGAAGGCCCTTGGAGCTGGAATTGCAGGCTGTTGTGAGCTGCCTGACATGGACTCTGGGAACTGAACTTGGGTCCTCTGTAAGAACATGCATGTTTTTAAACACTGAACCATTTCTCCAGCCCCCATGAATGCTACAAAGCTATTTACTGGCTGTGAATAATGATGACAGAGGTGAATCCAAGAAAATGCCCCAAGTACATGGGTATTTTCCTTCGAAGGAAGCTGAACAGAAAAGGAGTCCAAGGAGGAAGCTAGAGCCAAGCTTTCAGGACTGGCTCACTGTGGCTTGGGGATTGTCTGGACAACGCTATGTCTCTTCATCCGTCAAGCCTCCAGGAGACACTTCCCTAAGACATAGCCCTTTAGGCCCAAAGACAACAAGAAAATGCCCCAAGTACATGGGTATTTTCCTTCGAAGGAAGCTGAACAGAAAAGGAGTCCAAGGAGGAAGCTAGAGCCAAGCTTTCAGGACTGGCTCACTGTGGCTTGGGGATTGTCTGGACAACCCTATGTCTCTTCATCCGTCAAGCCTCCAGGAGACATTTCCCTAAGACATAGCCCTTTAGGCCCAAAGACACAGGGCAGCAACCAGGACTCCTAAATCTAAGCACAAACTCCCAAGGCCGGAATCAGACTAGATAGGGAAAATGAAAGGACAATTCTGATGCTGTTTTAACCTTTTGATTGGAATCCACTTTGACCCCATTACAGCTTCCTAAGTGAAATGTGTTAAATCTGAGCCTGCTGGTACCCTGCTGAAAGTGAACCTTAAATCCCTGAAAATGTGAGTTCTGAAACTTGGGGACGTGAACCAAGGGCAAGGGAATGCTGAGGACCCATTTTCCATGTCTGTAACTTTGAATATGAATCCTGACTAAGAAACCTTTCGGTGAGAACAGAGAGCCAGGGTATAGTGACTTCCACCCTCTCAGAACCACTGAAGGTAAGGGACACTTGCAGGGTGAGACAAAAAGAGCTTCAGGAACTGTCATAAATAGGGGAAATTCTCAGGAAAACTGGCAGATTACCTGTAGATTTCTTGGGTTAATTAACTGCGTTGATGTTAAAAGCATCAGTCTCTTTCAAAGGCCCAGCATTCCTGCTATCACTTTGCTCTTCCAGATGCTTCCCTTCCACATGCTCCTGTGTAATTTGCAAGACCATTTTTTCCTGCCTGTGCCCATGAGGAAGTGATCAAAATAACTAAGTTTTTTGAACAGCATATTTCATTTATATCTAGCTGTAAGGATGTGTTGTGTTTGTGTGTGACTCTGTAAAAAAATAAGTACCTTAAAACCCTTTAATGTTTTTTTTTTAAATCTACCTTTTTAATATCTGTATGCGCAAAAAGACTCCAACTAGTTCTTCATACATTGCAACTAATAATTTTTAAGTATTATATAAATATAGAAAACATTAAAGGCATTTCACATTGAACAAAATCAGAACATACTTAGTTCAAACATTAGATCTTTAACAATATTCATATTCTCCTGTGAATCTGAGTATAAAAACATACTTTGTTCATTTAGTAACTGGCTGATAGCTGTCTGCCCTCTGCAAAAGTTTGTCTGAGTATCCAGGGGGCTAGTACCTGAAAAAGAAAATTTGCTATCAGAAACTCTTGGAAAAATTTCATACAGAGGCATAAAAGGTTCCACATAAATAACTTATTGAAATAATTGTATAGGGTTGGTGAAATGGCTCAGTAGGTAAAGGCACTTGTCATTAAGCCTAACAACTTGAGTTCGATTCCTAGAACCCACCTAGCAAAACAGAACCCCATAAATTGTCCTCTGATCTTCACATGTGTGCTATGACACACACATGCCCACCCACACATATAAATAAATAAATGTGAAATGTTTTAGAGAAATAATTTAGGAGTGAAACGTCGTATGTTCAAGTAATGCTTTATGCAATGAGGTTAGAGTACGTGAAAGAGGGTCATCCCAATTCACAATACTGTGCTAGAAAAGTAGCAAAACACTTTAGGAATATGAGTCTAATGACAGAAACTATTTTCCAAGCAAGCACTTTCAATCCAGTGGCAATATTTTGTCTCAGAGATTTTACTGTTACTATAATCAAGTGAGTAACATTACTTTAAAGACCACAGCTAATAGATTTCCTTTATATGTTAGTCTATATTCCCTGTCATTTGCTAACCAATCTCTGCATTCCACGTGCCTTAGAAATTATGTCTTAGTGTACATTTTGATCTGATCTTCTCATGGTTCATTTTGGATTTCATAAGTGGTATATAAACACTCACATCATATAAACTAGAAAATGAATCCTCTTCATTTGTTCTTAGGTTTATATTATGCTTCTAAATTGAACATTTTATAAACTACTTAGTATAAAGTATGAAATGTATTGATAATGGAAAGAATTTGCATGTGCATAAAAATAAGCCAAATAAGCCAGGCATGGTGGCGCACGCCTTTAATCCCAGCACTTGGGAGGCAGAGGCAGGTGGATCTTTGTGAGTTCAAGGCCAGCCTGGTCTACATAGTGAGTTGCAGGCCAGCTGGGAATACAAGGAGACCCTGTCTCAAAAAGACAAAAAAAAAAAAAAGCCAAATAAAAAAGTATTCTAGGGTATGGTAAGTATAACTCACTCAATTGATTAAGCCTTCAGAAGGGTTTTCAATAGAGAAAGTCTAATGTTAGGGACTTGTTTTGTTCTTTATTAGTTTTCTTTATGCCTACTTAAAAAGTCATAATTCCTTCCACAATTTCTCAAGTAGGAAAAACAGAGCTAGCTGTACTTTTTCAATAGTGTCCTTATACACAGAATTAATTAGAACATACGTACCTAAAAAAAGGTCCTTTAAAGAAAGTCTTTCCTCAAAGGCCACCTATTCTTGAAAAAGGCCTGGAACTCATTATATAGACCAAGCTGGCCTCATTTTCACAGAGATCTACCTGCCTCTGCCTCCCAGATGCTGGGATTAAAGGCATGTGCTACCACACCCAGCTCTTGAAAAATGTATTTTAATAATAGGTTTCTTCAAAGCAGTCTTACATCGAGGAACTGGCAATTGTTTCTCTCTGGGTCTGAGTTAATATAAATTTTAAAGCTTTCATAAGCCCATCATAAATGTTTCAGACATGAGATAGGTAGTATTTACATACATGTAAGAGGCAGATTTTTTTAAATATTTTTAAATTGTGCTATTTAAAATGGTAGCCACTAGTCACATTGGGCTAAAGAACAGTAGAAATATAGCTAATATTCTTGTGGAATCAAATTTTTTAAGTTTAAGGTTTTAAAATTGACAATTCAATTATTAGAAAATTCTTGAGGTGTTTGAAAAAGTTTGGGAATGTACATTTCCAATTATGTTTTTTTGTGGTTGTTTGGTTTGGTTTTTGTTTTTTGAAACAGGGTCTCTCTGTAGCCCTGGGTGGCCTTGAACTTGTTATATAGACCACTCTGACCTTGATCTCATAGAGATCAAGATGCCTCTAACCTCCCAAGTGCTAAGATTAAAGGCATGTGCCACTACACCCAGCTCGATTATGTCTTTTTTAAAATGTGTATGGAATGTTTTGCTTGCACATATGTACCACATGCATGCAGTGCCCCCAGAGGCCAGAAGAGGGCCTGGAAGTGGTGTTACAGACAGTTGTGAACTGCCATGTGGGTACTAGGAACTGAACCAAGTCTTCTGCAAAAGTAGTAAGTGCTCTTAACTACTGAACCATTTCTCCAGTCCTCAAACTATAAGTTTTATATAATCTAAATCCAACCCAAATATTTCCAATGAAATTTACTATTTAAATTAAGACATGTTAGAAATAATAAAATGTTATAAAAATGTAAGATAGCCCATTTTGTAATGATTACAAGCTAAAATGATAAGGTTTGGCTATTCAGGTGGTTTTTTTCTTTTTTTTTCAATCATTAGATTTGCCTTGTTTCATTCTACTTTCTTAAATGAGGCTTCCAGAAAGTTTGAAGTTACACATGTTTCTAGTGGATACTTTTACTTTAAAAATAAAGTTTCCACCAGATCAATTAGGATTTACCTAATTCTTGAGGCTTTACCAGGCTCATGTCCATACTTTTGGCCATTTCTAGCCTTCCTTCCCCAAAGACCTCAGGGACTTCAAAGTTTTCTGGATGCTCAGTGAAGAAAGTGTGCTCAGACATCCTCACTCCCCATCAGCAGAGCAGATGTCCCCATCAGACATCCTCACTCCCATCGGCACTGAGCATGACTCAGCTTCCCACAAGTGCATATAGACCTTGCATCCATCTCAAAATATAGACCCATAAATGACTGCACCAAGTTATCCATCTACTATCAGAAAGCCCCATTCCACTGATCTAATGCTAAGGGATTCAAAAGTAGCTTCATATTAGGAAAGAATGTGGAACTCTAGCTTAGCAACTAAAGGGAATATAAATCTAACCAGAATCTTATTTTATTCCTTTTATATTTGTAAAAATGAAACAAAAAATTGGCTTGCTGTGTGTTTATCACCAAAACAAATAGTGAAAAATAAGTAGCCATATAGAGTCTCCAGTCCTATTATAAAATTAAATATGATTTTTCCAATAATACTATTTAATCTCAAGAGAAAAAAAGGAGACTACGTGCCCTAAAAGGGACAATAAGAAATATTTCCCAAATTGAATTCTTACTAGTACAAGCCTTTTGGCTAAATACTATGTTGTTTAATTCTCGTGCTATGAAGTATATAACAACATTTATAGATGCAGAAACTGTGGCTTAAAGTGTTAACTCAAGATCACACAGGAAGCAAAATTCAGAAAGGATTGTAAGCATGTCTGACACATCACTAGACCTTTCAGCCATATTCCTCACCAAAGAACCAAAATAAACCTCAAAAACAAAAAAAGTTAAATTCCTTCCCTCTAGTTATCAGCTACTATCCTCAGCTATCTCCAAATGCTCTTCAAAAATATAAGTGAGGAGCTGGGAGATGGCTCGGCAATTAAGAGCACTGAATACTCTTGCAGAGGACCTGGGCTTGGTTCCCAGCACCCACATGGTAGCTCACAACCATCTGTAACTCCAGTTGCAGGGGATCCAACATTCTCTTCTGGTTTCCATGGACAGAAGGCACACATAGTACATATACATACATTCAAGCAAAACACTCATACACATAAAGTAAAAGTAAATAAATCTTAAAAACAAAAGAAAAGCGGGGCATGATGGCACATGCCTTTAAATGCAGCACTCAGGAGGCAGAGGCAGGCAGATCTCGGTAAGTTTGAGGCCAGCCTGGTCTACATAGCAAGTTCCAGGCTAGCTGGGACAACCAGGGAGACCCTTTCTCAAACAAAACAAAGCAATAATTAGTCACAAAACAATTGTCACCAACTAATTTTTTAAAAATACTTTTTATTTATTATTTTTGTATGTGTATGAATGTATTGCCTGCTTGTATGTAAGTGCACCCATGTCACACAGTACCCCAGGAGGTCAGAAGAGGGCATTGGATCACCTGGAACTGGAATTACAGATGGTTGTTAACCCACCATGTGGGTGCTGGGAATCAAACCCAGATCCTCTGCAAGAGCAGCCAGTGCTCTTAACTGCTGAGCCATATCTTTAACCCCTACAACAACTAATTTTTTGAGAAATATGTTATTGTAAAAGTAAAGCCATTTTGAAATCATATTTGTCTATTTTCACAGAAAGAATGTTTTAAAGATTCTATAAAATGACATTTTATGCAGCCTATTGCTTTTTTAAATATCAGAAATTTGAAAAAGTCAGCTAACCAAATTCTTCAGGAAAATTAGAAAGTTTAAAAAGTGAAATTTTGCCAGGTGGTGGCGCACACCTTTAATCCCAACACTTGAGAGGCAGAGGCAGGCAGATCTCTGTGATTTCGAGGCCAGCCTGGTCTACATAGTGAGTTCCAGGACAGCTGGGGCTACAGGGAGACCCTGTCTCAAAAAGACCAAAAAAAAAAAAAAGTGAAATTTCAGGGGCTGGAGAGATTAAGAACGGTTAAGAACAATGGTTGTTCTTGCAGAAGACCGGGGTTCAAATCCCAGCACCCATATGGCAGCTAGCAACTATCTGTAACTCCAGTCCCAGGGGATCCGACAGCCTTTTCTGACCTCCGTGGGCATTGCACGACACAGGTGCACTTACCTACATGCAGGCAATGCACGCATACACATAAAATAAAAATAAAAATAAAATTTAAAGTGAAATTCCAGATCACAGAATTTAAGTTAAAACTTTACAGTGGTATTTTTGATAAAGCACAAGACTAAATTCTAATATGACCATTTACCTTTCCTGGTACACAGTTAAAATACTCCTAAGAAGGAATGAAACGGAAACGAACTTACACTCAAGAAAGCGTCTGATCATCGGCCGATCCATATTCCGGGACCTTTAATTTGCCTTTTCTGTTGTATTTTGTTTCATTTTTTAGAAAATTGAACTGAAAGGTTTTTTATAAGTCTTTTGAGGCAGGGTCTCATAACTCTGGCTAGTCTGGAACTCGCTATATAGACCAGGCAGGCCTTGAATTTACAGAGATCCACCTGCCGCTGCCCCTAGTGCTGGGATTACCGCCATGCACCATGACCACCCTAAAAGATTTTTTTATTTTTGTCTTTTTGAGACAGAAATTCCCTGTAGCCACAGCTGGCCTGGAATTCACTATGTAGACCAGGCTGGCCTAGATCTCATAGAGATCTGTCCACCTCTGCCTCCCAAGTGCTGGGATTAAAGGTGTACACCAAGACGCCCACACTAAAAGATGTCTTAAACCTACATAAAGTAGCATTTTTTCCTGAAGGTACATATGGTCCATGTACAGAAAATAATTATTAGTAAAATATTTTCACAATTCTTTCATTTGATAGTTTCACACTCATTTTTGGCATACAACCTTCAGCGAGGTCTACTTAACTATAATGCCTACTATAAATTATAATAAAATACTGGCCACACTGGCACACACTTGTAATATCAGACCTTAGGAGGCTGAGGCAGGGGGATTATGAGTTCCAGGCCAGTCTTGGCTATGTAGTTAGCCCAAAAGCAATTTTGCTGCCTCAAAAGCAATGAGACTATATAATTTTTGTTCCTTATTTATAGAAATACAGCATACAAACAGAAGGACTTATTAGATAGCGTTATAATCAACTATTCAAATGAATTTGTCCTCATTCATTCACTAAATTTGTCTTTTTATTTATTTATTTATTTATTTATTTATTATTGTGTGTATGCATGGTGTGTGGTGTGTATGCATGATACGTGTGTGGGCATGTATGCCATAGCACATGTGTGGAGGTCAGAGACCAACTTTGTGTGGTTGGTCAAACTTGTATGGCAAGTGCCCGTACTTTCTGACACATCTAGCCAGCCTAAAGTTTTAGAAAATTTACATTTATTTATTAGTGTATATGTGTGCATATAACACACATATGGAGGTAAGAGGACAACCTGCAAGAGTTGGTTCTCTCCTTCCACTATGTGGGTTGGAGGGATCACACTCAGGCCGTCAGCTTGGCAGCAAGCGCTGAGCCACCTTGCCAGGCTCAAACGTTTTGTTTTTAAAAAACAACTGTTTGGTTGATTTTGTTTTCATTTGGGGGTGTTTAACATGTACCTTGGGTTGAATTAAACTCTTTTTTAAATTTAATATTATTCTTTAATTTTATGTGTATGAGTGTGTATTGCCTGCATGTATGTGAGTGCACCCATGTTGTACAATGCCGTGGAGGTCAGAAGAGTGTTTCAGATTCCCCTGGAACTGGAGTTAAGTGCTGGGACTCAAACCCAAGTCCTCTGCTAGAGCAGTCTGTGCTCTTAACCACTGAACCATATCGCCAGCCCTGAATTAAACTCTTAACATATGCTGTCCCATTTCATCTTCAATCTATGAAATACTCATTCCCATCTTACCTGTAACCTAACGAAGGTTTAGAGAGATCAAGGCTCCACTGAATAATTAGAGCTAAAGCTTAGAATATAGTTGAGCCATATGTGGGGCTTTAGGTTCCTTCCACAGCACCAAAAACAAAACCAGGACTTTTTTTTTTAAAGAAGAACTGACCCTACACACATAATCACTATGGCATTTGACTTGCACAGACTCCATTTTCTTAAGTCAGATATGTGGAGCACAGCTTCACAGTTCTCGATAGTCAAGGCTCACCGTCCTGACCATCAGGGACCAGAGTGCAGTGGTTCCCATCCAGTGCTTGCTACGAGCAGCTGTGCACCTTTCTGGAAGCTTGACCTTGCTACTTACCACTACTTACTATCTGCAATGCTCTAGAAATAGGACAGCTACACTTGTTTAAATTGTTCATAAAAAGTCAATGTGCTCTAAATGACTGTCTGAGGGCATCTCCAGCGAAGTGCACAGAGTTTCTGAAAATATTTCAGTGGTTCAAAGACCATTTTCTTTTTCTTTAATAAAGATCTTTGTTATCTGTTCCTAGACTAAAAGTAAAATCAAGAGACACTTCGAAAAATCACTAAAAGATTCTTCCCAGTGTAAATTGTCTATACGGTAGGGTTTGTATGTGTTGACGTGCTATTTACTTCCTGAGAACAATTCTTAAAAAGGCAAGTACAGGGCTGGAGAGATGGCTCAGCGGTTAAGAACACTGGTTGTTCTTGCAGAAGACCCAGGTTCGAATCCCAGCACCCACATGGCAACTAATGACTGTCCATAACTCCAGTTCTAGGGGATCCGATGGCCTCTTCTGTCCTCTGCAGGCATTATGCAACATGGGTGCACTAACACACATAGAGGCAATACATGCATACCCATAAAATAAAAATAATAAATAAAATATTTTTTTAAAGACAAGTACAGAGGATATGGGGAAAGTGTGGAAAAGGAGGGAGTGTTGTATCTGTGGATTTTATTAACCTATGTTACCTGTATCAATTCAGATTGATGGAAGTTGAGACTTAAAAAGCAAAAACCCCACTTTATAGAAGAAAACAGAAAAAACAAGTTAACAAATTATTTTCATTTTTCCTCCCCTTCTTACAGACAATGAGAAAGTTCCTTACCTTACTGGACTGACCAGCCACGTGCTTCAGAATATTGGGAGGTGCATCATAGAGAAAGGACTCTTCAGTCAACTAGTTTAAGGAACTATGTATATATATATATCTATGATCATAGTTTAGTCAACTAGTTTAAGGAACAAAATATATATCTAGTAAAGGTTTATCTGAGAATATTTGGCTTTTTACCCAAGCCTTATCTATATAGCACATGATAAATAAAAGTACCAGATTGGCGGAATTAACCTTATTGGATGTTTAACAGCCATACTTTAAGGCCTATATTAATGTATTCAGAGGGACTTTAAGGACAATTTTTTGCCCCTTGTTCTCCAAGGTTGACCAAGAGGCAGTGGACTATTGAACATCTCTCAAAATGCCTGTAACTGTGATGAGTCACCTGTCCTCCTGTTCAGGGAGGATGTAGAGGCTCTACGAGATGGACTTGAACCAGTGTCCAGACTACAAAGAGGAGGGTCAACTCAGAGGAAACATCTCATTCATGCTTCCAAGTGAAGCCAGACATGGTCGAACAGGACGTTTGGCTTATCTTTACATATATGGAACTGGCAAAGGAAAGGAGCCAGGAGCTCCTCCCAAGCCCATGTGACCTCTGAGGAACAGATCCTCAAATGACCTTTGTGTAAACATAAATTGAATTATTTGGGCCAACTGTATGGTCTTAAACACCCAAAAGGAAAGTA